GGCACTGACTCTGCTCAGAGGCCGACTCCCATGGGAAGACTCAGGCCAGCCCCTGGAGCACCCGGGGCTCTGGACAGCAGTGACACCAGCATCAGGGATGACAGCCCCAGTCCACCTCCCCTCCCCGATCCATCCACGCAGGTCACCAGGCACAGTGGAGTGCACACCAAGACATGGTCCTGTGACCTTGCCATGGGCTGTGGGGCTGCACGGAGGCCATCACAGCGGGGACTGAATTTTTCTGCAGCTGAGTCCAGCAGGACGCCCTGACCCAGGTTTGTCATGGCTGTCACTGGTCAAGCCGTGTGGGGTTGCCCAGAGTGGGGTGGGGGCGATGCCCAGACTCTGGGTCTGAGGGAGGAAATGTGGGATGATACAGAGACGCATGACCAAAGCCCAGAAGTCCCCAGGGCTCAGTATTGCAGCTGCTGGAAACTCACACACTGAGCAAAGACAGGGCTCCATGATGGGACATGTTGTTCTACCTCTGTCGCTCCGGAGCCGTGTCTCCCACGGGAAAAACCTTCGCCTGCTTTCAATAACCCTTGACAGGGAACGTTGTTCCAAGCAGACAGAGGGCAAGGTCAAGGGCAGAAAAGCAGACGGATGGAATGCAGACACACAGGGTGTGCCTTGGGGACTTGTCCACGTCCAGGTGTGCTTCCTGGTCATGGCCCTGCGAGAGATGCTGTCGCCAGCTGCCACGCCGTGGTCTAGTCTGTATCCTATTATCACTGTCCTGACTTCTGTGTGGCTGGAGTGTGCCCACAGCCAAAGGGAAGCACCTTGCCTTGGCCCCAGCCTCTCAGGACAAGGAAGCTGGGAGCCTAGCACACACTCAGAGGGAGGGCAGCCCCACTGGTGCCTGCTTGTGGCTGCTGTGGCAGGAATAGAGAGGAGTGGGTACATGGGATAACTCCCTCCCACACCTCCTGCCATAGGGCACAGGCGCCTCTCTGCCTGTCCACGACCCAGCAGCTCGTACCCAAAAGCACAGGCCAAGACAGCAAAGGGCCGTGTGCCCATGGTTGTGTTTTGAGACACACAGAGGTAGAGTTGCAGTGCAGTGCCCGGCCACCGTTAGTCCTGTAGAGGTGTTTGCTTAAAACCAAAAACCACTCTGTAATCTTCGAGCAAGGAGCAGCGGGGCGGGGCGGGGCGGGGCGGGGGGGGGGTGGATTTTGCTGCGCCAGGCGATCCCAATTCAGTCCCTCTGACTAAGGGAAGTATTTGTTGATTTCCAGCCCCGTGGTTTCAACCACCCCAGGGGGGATTTTCAGAGGCTTTGGTATGCCATTGGCAAAACATCTTAAAGAGAGGGCAGAGCATTCCAGAGACCTGCAGGGGCCTGTTGGAGACAGGCTGTGCTCTGCTCTGCTGCTCCAGCTCCATGAGCGCCGGATCGGAGGGCTTGGGGGGAGGACGGGGTTGGGAGAGGATGGGGGGCTGGCCCCGCCCTTCCTGCTCAACCTCAGCCAACCCCAAACTACAGTTCCAGCTCGCATGCCCACCGCTCCTCGGTGAGCCCAGACCCCTTTCGCTCTTAGTCTGTGACCCATGGCGGGAAGTGCATGCAGCAAGACACCAGGCAACATGTCCCGGGGGGCCCAGCACAACTCAGGGGCTGGATCAGGACCTGGCCTTGGTCCAGAGTGGGCCCTCGAGCTTCTGTGCCAGGCTGGTGATCCACAGGCGGTGCAGAAAACCCAGCTCCCATGGTCAAGTTCTCCTTGTCACCACGGCTGCAAGAATGGCCCAGGCTGGGTGGCTGCTGGGGTTCTGGGTAGATAGTCCCCAAGACGCCAGGGTGGGCACCCAGCATCACAAGGTAGTTCGGCCAGACCCGGCTGCAGAGGGAGGCGGGGTGCAGCCAGCTGGATCCCTAGGTCCCCTCCATGCCCTGCTGAGATCAAAGCGGGGACCCAGAGCTGGGGTGGGAGCAGAATTGCTGCCGGCGGCATTGGGTGGAGGTGGAAGAATTCCTCCCTCGGTTCCTGCCTGAGGCTGGGGCTTTGTGGGAAGCTGTCTGGGGCTGGCCCATAGCTCCATCTGCCCTTCCCTCCCTTCTTGCGAATCTGGCTGCCAGTGTCCGGATGGGGCAGCCTGCCTCAGCCCAATGAATAGGGTGACTCACGCCTCAACTATTGCTCCCCGAATTGTGTGCTGAGCACACAGGGGATGGGAGAGCCACAAAGAGGGACGCCACAGCTCTCTTTTCTCTCCTGGAGCAGGGGGTCTGGGGGCCGGGGCATGGCACAGGGTGGGTACACCTGTGGGTGGGGAGAGAGGAATGGCAGCAAGTCCCACGCATGACCAGGCGGGAGCTCTGTCCTCAGACGGTGCCCAGCCGGGAGGGGACAAAGAATGGCTTTGTGGGTACCGATCGGGAGGCAGAGCACACAGGTAGGGCCCTGGGACTCAGCCAAGACCTGGGGCGGGGTGGAGGGAGATGACCCTACATCTGTCAATTCAAGACAGAGGTTTGCTAAACACCGCCAGTGTGCAAAGGCTGGGCTGAGTGGGCGAAGCAGAGTTCCCTAAGCTGCAGGAGGGCACCGTCGGGCAGGTCTAGAGCCGTGTGCAAAACTCTGTGTTGTACTGCAGACCTGCAGACGGGGCGTGGCTCCGGGGAGCGTGAGTCCCAGGCCTCACCCCTGCCCGTGACCCCATGCTGGCCCCTACCTGGTACCTGTTTGTGAACCACCACCATGGTCCACACTCCCTGCACACCTCTGCCAAAGCAACCATCAGTGGTGTCGCCCTGAGCTCCTTGCTGGCTGTGAGGAAAGCAGCGTGGGAGAAGCAGTATGGCGAGACCCACCAAGCCTGGGTTGCTCTCCCCAGGGGTGGGAGGAGGGGTGCCCGCAGAGAAACACAGGGAGCTCAGCCTAATCCCCTTTTTCCTGCACAGGAAATCCCAGGCCGGGGCGGGACCCCGCCACACTGCGGGGGCCTGGGTGCCTGGCTCCCCATGGGGTGCGTCTCCCTGATGGACACCTGCCTCCCCACCTCCCACCCCCTCTGGCGTCTCTGCAGGGGGCTGGGCTGCCTGCTTGGGGTGGACTCTCACAAAACTTGGGAAGAAGACCCCTGCTTTCCCCAGAGGCAGGAGGGGACACCCCTCGCCATCACACCCCCCACCCTGCACCCCAGCTTCCGGCTCTGAGCTTGGCACACTGTAGCCCCTCTCAGACTGGCCAGGGGCATTGCTGTCCTATGAAGGCGTCCCTCACCACACAGCTGGGAGGAGAAGAGAATGTCCCCATTGAGGGGCCTCCCGGAGGACAGGGGGCACTGGACCCAGGGCCCGTGTGTGTCTGCAGGGGTGGGCGTGGCATATCCTGCCGGTGATCTTTTGGTGGAGAGGGAGAACCCCAGCTTGGAGCCCCTAGACACTCGCTTCAAGCTTGGAGCTGTGCGATCAGGAGCTGAGGGAGCCCCCCATATCTAAGTCCTCAGGACACGCGCATCTGCAACCCAGTGTGAAACCGGTGCACTCACAAAAATTGTCACTGAAGTCCCAGAAATGTCCCCAGGGAGGGCGGCAGCCCGACCCTCACTGCCCCGGCTCCACAGGGCCAGCTCTGCCCATTGGTCTGGCTGCCAGGATTTGTCGGCCTGCTGCTTTCCCGTCACAGCCCGCGGGGTGAGCCATGGCCCTCGCAGCTCACCCCCTTGTTGTGCAGTGAGCTTCCTGCCGCCAACCACAGGTCCTGGGAGAGTTCTGAGCCTGCGCTGGGTCCCGACTCCTTCTCGCGGGAGAACGGAGCTCCCTGGCTGAGTCGGCCCCGGTGCACCCCTACCTCCACCAGCTCCAGCCAGGGGCCAGGTGGGCGCAGCCCTCACGGGGTCTCAACACCGTCCCTGCTAGAGACTCCTGCTGCTGCTTTGAGGCGGGGAGGCCAAGAGCAGGCTGCACTCAGATCTGCAGCCACAAAGATGGGGTGTGGTGGAGAACAGATACTTCCAGACCTAACCAGAGTACCCTCCCCCCCAACACAAGCTCTGCAGGGGGACCCCAGGGGATCCCTGGAAAAGCAGCTAGCAGGTGGTTAGGCCAGCTGCTCACCGCGTCCCCCCCACCCCCCCACCGCCGCCAGACTCAAAATTCTGTTTTCCATGCCCTGGGCTCAGGGCGGCTTCGGACTTGGGGCTTAGAGACACAGCATAGCTGTTTCCCGCTGCTCGGGCTGGCGTGGTTGGCCGTGCCGTTATGACAAGCAGGCAGGTTCCCGACATGTTCCTGATGAGATTAGAAGCTCCTGCAGGTATGTGTTTTGGGCGGCCTTGAGCCTGTAGCAACAGCTCCGATGACTCACTTCTGCCTTAGTGGAATAACTGAGAGAGCTCCCTGGAGCTGCTGTGGTGGGGGTGGGGGCCCCCCTGCAGAGAGCCTCTGCGGCGGAGGGGGGACACGGGGGTCCTTACAGCTGCCCAGCCCCCACAGAGGCCTGCCCAGGCCAGGGAGCAAAGAATGATCAAGGCACAGGGTTAGGAGGAGCCAGCAAAGTGGTGCACAGTGAGGGCCAAAAGTCTCCAGCAGTCTTTGTGCCGGAGCTAGGGGCTCTGGGGAAGCGTCCAGGCTGCAGGCTTGCAGGCCAGCGTGCCCAGGTGGCTCCGGGTGAGGCCTCCCCCAAGAGTGAAATGCGCAGAAAGGAAGAGAACTCCATTTCTGTCTCTGGTGCTGACAAACCACCTCTTGCACAGAGAAGGTAGCAAGCAGGTGGGGGCTCGCTGTGTCCCCCACGCAGGGGCAGCCTGCGCAGTGCTGGGGTGCTGCACACTCTCCTGGGTCTTGGAAAGCCTCCTGGGGCGCCGGCCACCGCCAAGTGCCCCCTTCCTTTCTGGCCTCCGTCTGGGACTGCTCACAGCCCAGCCCCCACGGTGGAGCGGCGGCCAGGAGATCAGCGCTGCAAGGCAGGGTTACTTCTCTCCGAGCAGCGCCTGCCAGGGGAGTCTGCACCCCGCACCCCATGTGCAGGTGTGACGGGTGAGCTCACAGCTGCCCCCCAGGCATGCCCAGCCCACTGCATCACTCACACCTGGAAAGCTCCCCGCCCAGCCCAGTTTAGAGGGGGATAAAAGGGGGAGCTGCACCTCCTGGGGTAGCAGAGCCGCCCACCGTGTCCCTCCGAGCTCCGTTCTGTTCTCTCGGGCACCTCCGGACCCGCTAGCGCCTGGCCTTCGTGCCCGCCCGAACGCAGCCGTCATGTCTCGCCAGTCTAGTGTCTCTTTCCGCAGCGGAGGCAGCCGCTCCTTCAGCGCCGCCTCCGCCATCACCCCGTCGGTCTCTCGCACCAGCTTCAGCTCTGTGTCCCGGTCCAGGGGCGGCGGGGGCAGCCGGGTCAGCCTTGGGGGAGCTTATGGAGGGGGTGGCTTCGGCAGCCGGAGCCTCTACAATCTGGGAGGCTCCAGGAAGATTTCTATCAGCACCAGTGGTGGCGGCTTCAGGAACCAATTTGGTGTTGGCGCTGGAGGCGGCTATGGCTTCGGAGGTGGAGCCGGCAGCGGATTTGGTTTCGGCGCAGGCATGGGGGGCGGCTTGGGGCTCGGCGGTGGAGCCGGTTTTGGCGGCGGCTACGGGGGCGCCGGCTTCCCCGTGTGCCCCCCTGGAGGCATCCAAGAGGTCACGGTCAACCAGAGCCTCCTGACGCCCCTCAACCTGCAAATCGACCCCACCATCCAGCGGGTGAGGACGGAGGAGCGCGAGCAGATCAAGACCCTCAACAACAAGTTTGCCTCCTTCATCGACAAGGTGAGCCGGGACCTTCTGCAAATGCCAGACTCAGCAGCGGGAGGGAAGTTTGGTTTCAGCTCTGCGCAAATCACTTCATTGATGGCAGGTGCGGGTTTCCACTCATTCTCCCATCATGCGTCTGTAGGGGCTTTCCTGACAGGACATTATTGCTTGCCCTGGGGCTCCTCGGCTACTGCGGGACAGACATGAACTCTGTGCTCACATACCGGGGCTGATGGCCCAGGAAGGCCACAGGTTCCAGACAGCAGCAGTGCCTGGGCCTTTGCAGCTCCCCCCACTCCAGCCAGCCATTCCCGGTGCTGGCTGTGCCCTGAGAGTGGGAGGCTGGGCACTTCACTAGAGATCTCTCCAAACCTCCCCACCCCACCATGCACAGGGCCAAGCAGAGCCCCCAGGAAAGGTTTAGGGGGAAGTAGGATATGCGAGGAATGGAAGTCACAGAAAGCCAAGTGTCTCCACCTTCCAACTCGGCTCCCCGCAGGTGCGCTTCCTGGAGCAGCAGAACAAGGTCCTGGACACCAAGTGGACGCTGCTGCAGGAGCAGGGCACCAAGACCGTGAGGCAGAGCCTGGAGCCGCTGTTCGAGCAGTACATCAACAACCTCCGGAGGCAGCTGGACAGCATCCTCGGGGAGCGGGGCCGCCTGGACTCGGAGCTCCGGAACATGCAGGACCTGGTGGAGGACTTCAAAAACAAGTAAGTGGGGTGGGGGGAAGGTGGGTGTGAGGGTAGAGGCTGGGGCCGATGATATCTTCATGGCGCCTCATGGGTTCCTAACCAGACTTCTACTTCTGCCTCCCCCATGGCAGGAAATATACACTTTGCAGGGATACCTGCATCCAAAAAAAAAAAAAAAAATTCCAGTCCAGGGTTAGGAAGTTCCAAGCCCAGGCTCCGCCCCCCGAAGGCACTTGGCCAATAGCCCCGCCCCCTGGGCAGGGTGCCGCCTGCTGCCCTGTGCTCCCCCAGGATCTTGGCCTCTGGCGCTGGCCTCCAGGTCCCCTCCAAGTACTTGCTGGATTCAGTTCCAAGCAGCAGCTGGTGACTCAGCCCAGCTCGGAGTGTCTTTAGTCCCGGGAACCAGCAATGGGCTGGCTAGCTTGTTGTTGTTGTTCTGTTGGTTTTCTTAAATAAATAAATAAGGTTCTGGAAGTTGAAGAAAGCCCTTGAGAAACTGACGCGAGAGGGAGTCGGGGAGCCGCCAGGCTGCTTTTGCATGGGATGAGTCTGGTGCAAGCAGCGGCACAGAGCAATACTGGCAGGGCTGTTTGCAGGCAATGGCCTCCGAGTGAGGAGCTGGCCCTGGGGCTGTCACCACCACAGTCCCCTCCCTCTCTGCCCAGGATATGAGAAGCCCCTTCCAGGTGCCAAGGTGATGTGGTACACTAAGACCCCTCCCCCTGCACCTGGCTCCCCGACAAACTCTTCCTGCCCCTTCCGCCACCAGGTACGAAGATGAAATTAACAAGCGCACGACCGCTGAGAACGAGTTTGTGATGCTGAAGAAGGTGTGTGGGGGTGGGCGGAACCCGGAGTCTGTGGCTGCGCTCTCCCGAGAGTGGGGTTCCTGGCGGTCGGGGGTGGGGGTGGGGGTGGGACTCCGGGCAGTACCAGCTCCCCCTTTCTTTCTCCCAGGATGTGGACGCCGCCTACATGAGCAAGGTGGAGTTGGAAGCCAAGGTGGACGCGTTGATGGACGAGATCAACTTCCTGAAGATGTTCTACGATGCGGTAAGAAGCCCACTTGGTGCTGCACGTGGACCTCATGGCTGTTTTGCCTCGTGTGGGTGTTGCTACCCTGCCCCTCCCACAGGAAAGGGGATTCTGTTGGGTGGGTGCGAGGGAACCAACGTTAACACGGCATCAGCAGCAGCCTCGTGGCAAATCTCCCCACAGGAGCTGTCGCAGATGCAGACCCACGTCTCCGACACGTCCGTGGTGCTGTCCATGGACAACAACCGCTCCCTGGACCTGGACAGCATCATCGCCGAGGTCAAGGCCCAGTACGAGGAGATCGCCAACCGCAGCCGGACAGAAGCTGAGTCCTGGTACCAGACCAAGGTGGGTGTGCCAGCAAGTGTCCCCCGAGAGAGAGGGGGGCAGACACGTGTCCAGGACTCCAGGGGCTCCTGCAGCCTCTGGAGGCTCCGTAAGAGGAGTCCTGGGGACAGCTGATGTTACCTGTCCCGTAAGAACCCAGGGAGCTGGAAAGAATCTCATGCTAGTGCACCCAGGAGTGCAAAGAAGAAATAGCCGCAGAATGCCTGGGCCTGAAACAGCCCAGGCCCTTGATAACTGGCAGGTGCACCCCTGGGTAGCTTCTGTCTGGGGACTTTGCCACGCGTGCTTCTCACTCGCATATGAACCTCTCCTCTCCTCTCTCCCGGCGGCGCCAGTACGAGGAGCTGCAGCAGACTGCCGGCCGGCACGGGGATGACCTGCGCAACACCAAGCATGAGATCTCCGAGATGAACCGCATGATCCAGCGGCTCCGGTCTGAGATCGACAACGTGAAGAAGCAGGTAGGCTGAGGCCGAAAGAGGGTGAGCTCTGGAGACCCGTCTTGTTCTTCCTCTGACACGCACACACACACACGCACACGGAGCAGGAACTGACACCCACGTCCCAGTGTTGCACTTGGAGCACTCGATGGCTTTGGTTCACCTGCTCCAGCATCTCAGCTCAGCGCTCCCTATGTCTCACGCTTCCTTCCTTTTCCGCCGCAGTGCGCCAACCTGCAGAACGCCATCGCCGACGCCGAGCAGCGCGGGGAGCTGGCCCTCAAGGACGCCAGAAACAAGCTGGCCGAGCTGGAGGAGGCCCTGCAGAAGGCCAAGCAGGACATGGCGCGGCTGCTCAGGGAGTACCAGGAGCTCATGAATGTGAAGCTGGCGCTGGACGTCGAGATCGCCACCTACAGGAAGCTGCTGGAGGGCGAGGAGTGCAGGTGGGCGGACCCCGGAGCCCACCATGGAGCATCAAGCACACACACGGGTGGCTGCTGATTTGTGGCCAGTGTCAGCCAGATGCCTGCACGCAGGCAGCCACAGCCCCTTGTCTGGCCCATGCCTCACCCCCCCACCCCATGGTGTGGGCGCTGCTTTTTGTTCCTGCTCATGGTTTTCCCCAATCTCAGTATCTATGCCACACCCGTCTTCTCCCTTGTCCTCCCCATGACTCCAATGGGTCTTCCTCCAGGAAGCCTTTCATGATTACTCCAGCTGAGTTAATTCGGCTGCCTTTGGATTCTCAAACTGCTCTGTTTTCTTCAGTCTTCTGATAGCACCCATTACCTACTTTCATTTTTTTTTTTTTTTTTAAGATTTAGTTATTTGAGAGGCACAGTTACAGACAGAGAAAGGGAGAGACAGACAGGTTTTCCATCTGCTGGTTCACTCCCCAGATGGCTGCAATAGCCAGTGCTGGGGCGATCAGAAGCCAGGAGCCAGGAGATTTTTCCATGTCTCCCACATGGGTGCAGGGGCCCAAGCACTTGGGCCATCCTCCACTGCTTTTCCAGGCCACAGCAGAGAGCTGAGTCAGAAGTGGAGCAGTCGGGTCTCGAACTGGCGCCCACATGGGATGCCGGCACTGCAGGCAGCGGCTTTACCCGCTACGCCACATCGCCAGCCCCACACATTTCTATTTCCCGCCAGCTCCGCCAGTTCTTACTCATGTTTTCCGTAGACCAGGTGGAGAGCAGCGGGCACTACAGTCTTGCTTGGCATTGGGAGCCTGGGCCAAGCCCCTTTCGTTGGAAGTCCCTGTAGGAGATCTCTCTGCCTCTCACACCAGCAGTGTCGGGGCCTGCGGGAGGCTCTGAGCGTGGTTCTGAGAGTCACCCACGCAGACCCACACTGTCTCGGGGGGAGTGGGGAATGGTCAATGAGCTCTTATTTCCATTTTCCCCTTGCAGGCTGAGTGGAGAAGGGGTTGGACCAGTCAACATCTGTAAGTCGCTTTAAACAGAATTCATGGTGGTGATGGAAGCGGGGTGTTTGGTACAAGCCCAGAGTCCCCCTCCTAAAACTGGGCTATTTGCTGCACATGGAAGGAGGCGGTGGAGGGGACAAGATGCCCACTGGGACATGAGCTCTTAAAGGGGGAGGCTGTTTGTCCCCCATCCCGGACCCTGTCCCCACAGGTTCTCTTCCTTAAATGACTCGGGTCCTTTGCAAAAGGGGGCTCTAAGGACAGCAGGGTCAGCCAGGTGGCCGTGTGGGACGGGCCTCACTCAGTCCTCTTTCCCTTCTTCCCGCAGCTGTCGTCACCAACAGCATCTCCACTGGCTACGGCGGCGGCAGCAGCTTCGGCGGCGGTAGCGGCTTCGGCGGCGGCCTGGGTGGAGGCCTAGGCAGTGGTCTGGGTGGAGGCGGCGGTGGCAGCCTGTACTCCAGCAGCAGTGGGGGCGGCCTAGGCGGTGGGCTCAGCGTGGGGGGCTCTGGCTTCAGCGCCAGCAGTGGCCGAGGCATGGGCATGGGCTTTGGCAGCAGCGGGGGCAGCAGCTCCAGTGTCAAGTTTGTGTCCACCACGTCCTCGTCCCGAAGGAGCTTCAAGAGCTAAAGGGAGCTGTAATCGCGGCCTCCCAGGGCAGCCCCTAGGCCCTGGAGGCTGCCTCTTCCAGGCAGTTCCCGTCCGCCAGGTTTTCTGTTTCTCTGGAGAGTAAGCTAGACTCAGCCTACTGCAGAACGGCGGTCCGGGCAGGTGCCAGCTCCCAGTCGTCTGCTCCCCTGTGTC